CAAATGCTGTGAACTCCTAACAAATAAAAAAAGAGGACTGGTTAAAAAGAGAAGTGACTGCCTGAGAAGTCCTGGCAACTCTTCAGAGCTTTCAGTGCAACTGCCCCTGTTTACATGGGCAGAGGTGCATTCAAATACAAAGGTAATGCCAGTGCCCGAATCCTAAGGGTGGAGGAGGCAGAGCCCTTCCAGGGCACTACAAGAGCTACACCTCCCCCTCCACTGGGGGAATGATTATCCCACTGCTGACACAATCCTGCCCCTTGCAGGGTCTGTTAACTCAGGGGTAGGCAAACTATGGCTCATCAAGTGAGTCTATCCAAGCCACAGTGGGTCCCTTGGCCCCACTTGGCCCAGGTGCAGTGGGCAGACTGGGCCATGGCATGTGCAGCCAGTCCTACCACCCGCAGGCGCAGAGGAGCCCTTTGGCATGGAGCACGGTCTACCCTATCCCCAAGCGCAGCTCTTGAGCACACCAGTGGGGGTGGGCAGCGTGGCATCCCCCTCGGCAGCAGTTCACTCTGCCCTCACACTTTCAGCTGCTGCTGCTGCCAGATCTACATGCCCACTGTCATACCTGGGCCTGCTGCCCAGGCACCCAAGCCAATCTGCCCCACACCCACCACCAGAGGCACCAGATGGAGTGGGTGGGGTGTCCGTGGAGGATGGCCCGGGACCCCCTGTGGGTAGGGTGCGCTCAGCTGAGCGGATGGGATGGGGCTGCAGGTAGGCTGCAGAACCGGAGCCCGTTGCAGGGATGAGTGGGGAGCGGATTCATAGATTGAATGAATCTGCAACTCTGCCCCAGATCCCAGCCAGAGATTGTGACTCTGCCCCAGATCCCAGCCCCAAGCCATCACCACCCCACGATCCCGGCCTCAGCTGCCCAGCCCACTCCCATGCTGATCCCTGCCTGCCTGTCTGTGGGGTGCAGGGCGGATGGGAGGCAGTGTGAACAGCTATGATGGGGCTGGGGGCAGGGCTGAGGCTGAATCAGCCCCACTGCTCCCCCCACTAGCTCAGCAGAACTCCTTAAGTGTCTCTCCACTCCAGTTCATTGCCTACACCTGTATTCACCCCAGCTCAGCTCCACACGGCACAACCTACCCTTCCCCGACCGCCAGCCCAGCTAACCCTTGATCTCTGCATGCTGCATTGCTGTGATGGCCCCCTCCTTCTCTGACTCCTATTGCCCTGCAGGGACATGAGCACTCTTCAAATGCTTGAAGGGGTGCCTTAAAAAGGACGGAAAGCCCCTTTTCTCTCTTGCTACAGGAGTAGGACGAGGACCAATGGCCTGAAGTTGCAGCAAGGCAGGTCAGGAACCACTTCTTCATTGCTGAGAACAGGGAGGATGTGAAATAGATGCCTAGGGAAGATGTGCACCCTCCATCACTGGAGGTGTTCAAGAAGAGGTTGGATAGCCACCGGTCTGGGAGGGTATCTTCCCCCTCCCCTCTTTGCTGCTACATGTGTTGGGGCATTTTTAAGCCTCAGAGGCACTGGGTGCAGCCAAGGTTGGGGATGATGACTAGCCGTTGGCAATGCTCCTGCCAGGACAAAGCAGGAGGTTCCTGGCTAGAGGGTCTTGCCCTTCCGCTCAGGGGCAGGGCGATTGCCACATCTGGGGTCAGGAAGGAATTACCCCCCATATCTCTTGAATGTGTACTAGCAACCTTTTACAGAAGCAGGGTCTTGCTTGCTGCGCTTCCCATTGCTTCATCTGTGGCAGGCTTGGCTGTCATGTCTTGTATTGTATCAGGGTTGACGGTAGTTTTACAAATCCATCATCTAACCTCTCTGTCCCACACGGTTTGGATAGGGACTCTCCTGCCTCAGTTCCCTTCCTGCCCAGCTTCTCTAGGACTCTCCCTTGGGCCCAGCCAGGGCGTCACTCACCGCAGCTCGCTGTCCATTGCCTGCATAGCAGCACCGAAGCTCCAGCCCGTCTGCTCCAGGTACCTGTAGCAGGTGCGGAGGCCGTTGCTGAGCGAGTCCTGCGGGCAGAGCAGAGGTAGCGCAGGTTGCCGGCAGCAGGGCAAGGCTGAGCGGGTGCTGGGGACCATGCTACAGGCCAGCAGCTGCCCCCACCCCTGCCCCAAGAGTCTGCCTTTGTACTGGCTGCCAAGGGACTGCCAGACTGGGGGCAATGGGGGTCTGGGGGCAAGACCGGCTGTTAACCCCCGGGGCCCAGAGCCATTGGGCATGCCACCCATTAAGCCCCTGTAGCCCGGAGCCATTGGACATACCCCCTATTAACACCCTGTTGTCTCAGGGGATCAAGCTGGTTAACCCTGGGCCACTGGACACACTGCCCCTTCCCCCACATTAACCCCTCAGGTCCAGGCCCCCACCCCATTAACCTCTTACAGCCTGGGAACATTTTTTCTATCATTCATCCAGCCAAGACTCCCTGCCCCTGCAGGCTCGGGACTGCCTGGGGGCACCAGGACCATCCCCGCCTGCCCTACTCACCGTGCCTGGCCCTGGCAGCCCAACATGCACCTGCACCTTCCTCCTGCAGTGCTCAGCAGGGCGACCCAACCAGCCGCACATGTACTCCCTGTCCATGACCCCGGCCCCAATCCTGGCCCTGTGTCCCAGTGCAATGCATGTTCCCCTGTGTCGTGATGGCCTTAAAGAGCACTCGCCCCACCACCCACTCACTGTAGGGCCCCACCCCGTGGGGATAGACATCAGCCAATGGGCTAGTGGCACAGCCACTCAGGCCACACGGATTGGGGGACGGTGGCAGGGTGGGAACAGGGCACGATGCCAGGTCTCATGGGAGGGTGGTAGTGAACCTAGAGCGTGCCCCACCCCGGTCAGACCAGGTCAGAGTCCGAGGTGGTGCCTGCACTGCCGTGGCGGCAGCACCGAGGCAGTGGGCAGGAGTGTTTCACTGCCGGAGCTGGGACAGGCCCTGCTCACAGTGTTGCACCAGCAGTCGCTGGGGTTTGGCAGTGCATCTCTGCGGGCTGCTGGACGTAACCCTTCATACTCCTGCGGTGACTCTGAAGGCTGCTTGCACGTAACGCTTTCAACGCGGCTGCAATGAGGATGGACACGGGAAGACCAGCACCTTTCCAAAAGGGGAACTCTCAGAAGAGCAGCGGCTGCCGCTTCTAATTGCTATGTGTGAACTGAGCTGAGATCAATTCAAGCGCAGCAAAATCATCCAGGGTTGGAGTTACCTTGAAGCAAAACCATTTGAAATGTTGTTTGGAAAGGGATCCAACGGTGCACTCATACCTCATCCCATGCAGATGAAAGCTTGCATAAATCATTTAAAACTTCCTGTTAATGTGGGAAGTCATTTTGATCTTCCACCCAGGAAACAATGCCTATAGCTAAGGCACTGCTTAAAATGAAATAAGCCTGCTTTGCAACCAGGAACACCACTCGACCGGAGCCACCTCCCAGTTAGCACCCAATTAAGACCAGTTACCTTGCCATTCGGAGTCCCAGCAGGAGTGGTTAATGAATCACCCAGGCAGCTGCTTGACTCTTTGGCTCTTCATCCACATTAATCCAGCCTCTGTTCGCAGGAAGCTGACCCTCTTATACCTACGGGGTATTGCTGAGTCTATAGCAGGAGGTCCTGCTTCCACAAAAAAAGTTTGAACAAGGAGACACTCAAAGGTTTCCCTCCGGGGCCTTGGCAAAACGTTCCCTGTGGCCACAGAACCATGGCTGTTGGCCGATTTTTCCTGGTTGTTAATAAACCCAACATAAGCAGCCTAGCAGATGTATTACATCTCCAGTTACCTTTCCCTGACCTGACTTGCACGGGAATCTCCTCAAGGAATGAAACCGGTTCGTTTGGACAAAACTTACTCAAGACTTTACCTGAGGTGGGCTACTGGGGCAGAGCGTAACGCAGACTGCACGTTTGGGGAGGGCGGTAAATACATCCGGGTTTATTCTTGTGAATAAGCACAGAGGCTGAGCAAACCCCAATGCTCAGTGTGCTCAAAATGACTCATTTAACTCATTTCACTCTACAATGATTTCAAGATCCTGATCCCCTTCGCTATGCAGGAAGGAGTTTGCCAGGGGGAGTACTGAATATCAAAGCATATAAGATGTTCAGGAAAACAGCTATCACACTTACGCTGTTAATATTTTTTTGTGGTCAACACAAATTGAACATGTTACCTTTTAACATCTTTTCAGCTACTGCATTTAAGCCCCCTCATCCACAGATCTGTAACAGGTGTTTTCAGGTACTTCCCTAAAATGCAGCATGGACATCCCCCCATGTTTTGTAAAAGCACTGAATTTTTCTCTGCTTGTTTGGTCTTCATGGAAAAGCGATTTCTGCTCAGTGCAGCTGAGAGCTTGTTGCAAGCCATCCTCAGCCTCATGCAATGTTCTCCAAGAAAGGAAAACATGTCTTTAATCCCTTAAAAAGCTGGAAAACGTAGTGGTTCATAGATTCATAGATGCTAGGGTTGGAAGGGACCTCAATAGATCATCGAGTCCGACCCCCTGCATAGGCAGGAAAGAGTTCTGGGTCTAGATGACCCCAGCTAGATGCTTATCTAACCTCCTCTTGAAGACCCCCAGGGTAGGGGAGAGCACCACCTCCCTTGGGAGCCCGTTCCAGACCTTGGCCACTCGAACTGTAAAGAATTTCTTCCTAATGTCCAGTCTAAATCTGCTCTCTGCTAGCTTGTGGCCATTATTTCTTATAACCCCCGGGGGCGCCTTGGTGAGTAAAGCCTCACCAATTGCCTTCTGTGCCCCCATGATGAACTTATAGGAAGCCACAAGGTCGCCTCTCAACCTTCTCTTGCGGAGGCTGAAAAGGTCCAGTTTCTCTAGTCTCTCCTCGTAGGGCTTGGTCTGCAAGCCCTTCACCATACGAGTGGCCCTTCTCTGGACCCTCTCCAGGTTATCCGCATCCCTCTTGAAGTGCGGCGCCCAAAACTGCAC